TTGCCTCCAACTTCTTTGCGTTAGATACACAAAGTCCCTCGAAGAACTTGCCCATGCAACCGAGGCTGCATCTTACTATTTAGCAGGTTAAGGTCTCGTTCGGGAGCGAAAGTAAGCGAGTGTTTCCTGCTTTGACGTTGTGGCCAGACGCAAAACGAACATCTGCTGTTTGGATTTTGTGGCCAGACAAACTTGTTGTCCAAACTTCATAGAAAAATTCTTGAACTTCATAGAGAAATTCTTGAGGTTTGCTTGGCGAACAAACAAACCGTCCAAGTTATGTGGGCAGCCCAATATGACATGACTGATAAAAGTCCAGAGTATTGCCCAAAGCTATATGGGCCTAGTCCGAAGGCCCCCAAAAGAGCGTATGCTACTTTGATTTTGCTTTCAGGCCCTCCAAGCACTCTGTGTTGGTTGGAATCTGTGGCCAGACTCCCTGCAGTTTTGGCATAAGCCATTTTTTCCGAACTTTTCTGCGGTGTCAAAATGGCGGCTTCTGCGTGCACTGCACCGAATGTGCAGTTTTGGCATAAGCCATTTTTTTCGAACTTTCTGCGGTCCAAACGAACATCTGCTGTCTGGGTTTTGTTGCCAGAGTCCCGAGGCCGAAAAACGAACGTCTGCTGTTTGGATTTTGTGGGCTGAGTCCCAAGGCCCCCAAAAGAGCGTATGCTATTTTGATTTTGCTTTTTCAGGCTTCAAGCACAAACACGTCAGCTGACTGTGTTTTTCACAGACAAAAAGGAGGCAGCGTGCGAATTATGAATTACGTGGCAGGCACAGCCTCAGATTGCCTCCCGGCTGTGTCCAAACACGTCCTCCTCGTCCTCGTCGTCGTCCTCGTCCTGGCGCACAGGTCCATGGGACTTTGCGAGCAAACGGATGTCCTCGTTTACGCGCACCCACAAAACTCGCCGATTGATGGCCGTGTTGTGTTCTACCGTGCCGACTTCTTTCGGCCAAAAGCGATCCCAAGTCCAATTGGTGGAGAAAATGCGAGGAGTTTGCTTGGGAATCGTTCCATCAGCATTTCTGGCCACAATATCACGGGTCTTTGACAAGTCGACTAGACCTTTGACATCATCAATGGAGCGTTCTGCCATGCAGGCTTCATCGAACACCAGGCCTTGTTTGGGGCCGAAGCTGATGTCCCGCAGACGGTCCAGGCGATTGATGAAATGAAATCCGACTTGTCCCACACAAGCGTGCATCAATGCGCAAGCGAATTCCGTTTTGCCCAGACCACCACGTCCCTCCAAAATCAACGTGACCTCTTTGAAACCGCCCTGCTGCCACCAAGGCAAGCGCTCATGGATCTGTGGCAAAGGAACAAAGCTGGACAAGAAAAAATCTGGAACGGCCACGAAGCTTCCAGAATCCATGTTTTCAGCATTCCACGCACTCAAGACTTTGTGAACCAAGCCTGCGACATTTGCCTGGGCGCCGAGTGTATTCCAAAGCGTCTCGTCTCCTGAAATCTTCCGCGCTTTAGCAAGTTGCCAAGCGTCTTTGCAAGTTTGCACAGAATGTTCGACAAATGCATCCGTAATTTCTGAAAATGTCATCAACGTTCGCTTCTTTCCAGGTTGGCCATTACGAGCTTCCATCTGCGGTACGGACTGCTGACAGAGTTGCATGAGCTGTGGTGTCGTCACATGAGAAGGCCAATGCCACGGATGTTTGTCCAAGTCTGCTGCGAGCTTATGAGCACTGGCCACCAAACAATACTTGAGGTACGCTTGGTAGCCGACCAAGTTGAAAGAAAAATGGCCATGCACGCCACCTTGCGCCAATAGATGACCCAGTCTTACATGAGCAAACGGCCTCACAAATTTGAAGATGAAGTGTTTGTGTCGGGCTCGTTGGCCCGTCTCCTTGTCGTACTTCTTGTGTGGCTCGTCAAAGACATGCAGTCGACTGATATTCGAATGCTGGTTGCACTTTGCGAGAGCCTGGAGGAACATCTTTCCAGCTTCCTCGTTGCTGAGATCAGCAGGAATCAAGCAATTGCGAGATTTGCGGGAAGCTGCATCGGCCAGGTACTGACGGGGACAAGGCCAAACAAATTGTCCACAGCGAGCACGGGCTTTAGGATCTGCAGGCTCATCAGCATTGGAGGAGGACTCGCCCTCAGGACGGAATATGCATATTGAACATTTTAAAAAAGTGCTACGCTGCTACACATGCGAACGCCAACGTGCCTCGACATCACACATGGGCACATCCTCATCTGAAGATGAGGAGGACGCAGACGTGGGCGAAGAAGACATGGAGGGCTTGGAACTGGAGCTGGGGCTTTGAACTCAAGCTCGGTTGGTGCTGGTGCGAAGCAGATAGGCAAATTAGGTTGGCAGCTGGTACTTGTTGCTCTCACAGCACGAGCCAAGAACCTTCAGAATTGTCGACTAGATGTCTTCATGGCCAAATAGACGACAACAAGTGGCAACTGGCAAAAGGATAAGTGTCAGAAAGGAGCCGAGAAATGTACTTGCTCCACCACGCACATACTGCGCCCAAAACCAGGAGAATTTGCTCCGCCCACCGCGAAACCATGTGACAGTGGTCCTTTCTCGGACTGGAATGTGCCAATCCAAGGAGTATGCGCTTGTCTACAGCAA